AGGTAGCTTCAGCACAAGTCTACTCTCACTATAATCCACCGCGAGTCCCCGCGTTCGCCTTCAACTTGCTGAAGCTCGTGGTGGATATCGTTCAAATCGATAGTCGAACTAAGGTGGTAGTAGTAGTAGTAGTAGTAGTAGTAGTAGTAGTAGTAGTAGTAGTAGCAAGAGAAGTACTGACTGCCCACCCCACCCACCAAATAAGGTGTAAGAACGCAGTCAAAATAATAAATTCTTCAGCGAAAAAAGCAAAGACGGACACTGCGGAGAGGAGGGCTTCAATGAGAGGACTGAAGTCTGACTCAGGTGTAGAAAATAGAGGTAGGGTGAAAGCTTTAGGGCTGACGGAATGAGGAGAGACAGCGAAAGCGAGATAAGTCCCTACGTGGTCAGTAACTTGAGTGCCTCCTGGAGATTCTTAATGGCGGTGGCCCGGTCGTCATAGTCCAATGCGCTGATAGCGAACTTGGCGTGTTTTATAGCCGCTTTAGAAATTTTGGGATCTAGTTCGTTTCTGCTGCCGCCTTGGGCTGCTGTCTCCGCGGCCTCGGAATAGTCCGCCATTCCGGAGCCTCCGCTGGAAGTCTGATTGGTCGGCTGGGCATCCGGTGTCAGCTTAGCCAGGTTGCCAAGATCTGCATCGGGGGGCGGGAGTATAAGAACAAGGAGTAGTTAGAAAAAACGGCTCGCAATTTATTACCATGGGAAGAAATAAGTGTGTAAGCAAACAGGGATACAAGACTATAGATAATGTTTTGATTAAAAAAAATTAAACGCACTCGTTGCTTTTTGGTAGGACAATGAGAAGGTAAACGAGAAGAGCGCGGCAGACGCTACGTGCAAGTCTCCTATCATTACAAACTAAATCAAGCACAAGTCCCCGTTCTTTTTCCATACCGATGTGCAGGACACGGTAAAATGCATAGTTAGCTATGACTAAACAGCCATGTCTTCTAGACAGCATTAAAATGGTGTGATTTGATAGGCGGTGGAGCGCAATCCTGGCTGATGTTTTAGTGCACTACACCGAAATCTGTCGCAGAAAACATGAATTTAAGCATATCTGACAGCAAGTCAGGCAGGAGCCCCGTAGTTCAAAAAGATGTCGCATACGTCTCTCATCTGACCCAGCAGAGGATGGATAGGAGCTGTGCTATCCGGGTAATTAATATGGCCAGCACATTGTTAAGACAGCATAGAACATGAGTCAACACTCTAACCGTCCTCGGGTCAGGATGATAAAGAGAAAACAACACGTGATAGCACCATCGCACAAAGGCCCACGTTACGCACCACCTGCAAGTGCTGACACAACACGAGAGCACAAAGATTTACGCGCACACGAAACAGCGCCGCCGAGTTGTGCCACTCTGAGGTCATCAACATCCCACGACGGCTGTCTGGATAAGCATCCCGCGCAGGGACCAATAAGAAGAGACATAGGGCACAAAGACTGCTACTCTTTAATTACGAGGCTGCGGACAGAAGGCGGGGTTCTGCTGCCGACATAGAGGACAAGCTGCGGACGAGACGACTGTTGTCCACGGTGACACTGAGAAGTTGAGGCATACGTGGAGAAGCTGATGTACACACAGAGGCTGTTGCAGTTAACTGTTCTCTACTATCCTGGCTGTCTTCTATTCCACACATACAACTGGGGAAATAACAATTGGCGACACAAGTGAATATACAAGGTCATAACAAGTGTCTACACAAAATGCGCAGTGTGGAACAAATGCAGATCTTGGAAGCACAGCAAACGACTATCACGGCTCGTATCGCAGAGTTGCAGAAAGACCGGAAGCAAACAGAAAATCGACGACAGAAGAAAGTGGCTTGAGGACAGGATCACAGAATTCATCTACGAACCCAGCGACGGTTTTACTTTCGAGATGTGGTTCCGAAAGTACGAATTATTGTTCGAGAGGGAAGGACAAACTCTGACCGACGGAGAAAAGATTGAAATTTTCCTACTGAAGTTTGGACGAAAAGTATGCCAAGCTCGTTTCGCCAAAGAAACCAGCCGAAATTGTATCGAAGGAAACTGTGAGTAACCTGAAAGTCTTGTTTAGCTACTCAAAGTCTTTGTTTAACAGACGTTTTGAATGCTTTAGATTGGAGAATGGTGATGAAGACTATTCTGATTTAGCCGGCAGGCCAAATGACAGGTATCAGCAGGCTGAACTAGAGGAAACAACGGTCAACCAGTTTGAGGCTCTATTGTTCATCAAATCCATGGGTCTGCCAGAAGACACGGAAATACACACACGTATACTGTCCAAACTGGATCAGGACGGCGACTTGACGGTACAGAAACTAGCAGATGAGTGTCTTAAAGAGAAAAACATAAAACAAGGTACAAGGTTGATTGGCAAAACCAGCAGTCAACAACCATAGGTCTTTCACACTCAAAACACTGGCAATCACAAAGAGCAAGTTCCCCCAGAAGACCAAAGGCCACCTGTTGGAAATGCGACGACTGGCACTATGTCGCAGACTGCCCCTATAAAACCCAGATGTGTGTGTGAAGAAATTTCGGCAAGGACATTGAAGAATTGAACCCGCGCGGTTTGAATTTTTGAGCAAGACGAAGGCAAAGTTATT